CTTGGTGTTTTGAGGTGTCCCTGTTGGTTTTCTTTCTTCTGTTATTTCTACATTGTGTCTCTAGGCAATAACATTAAGTTTTGCTCAATACTTGCTATATAGGTTCTATTTTATATAATCTTCCATTGGAACCTCCATCCGCCTCGACCCCGCTTTCTGAAACCTGTCCCCTCTCCTGAGAAAGGTTGGAAGATTTTTAATTATAATACAGTTTTACCTGTGTTGTTAAAATTCCTTGTTCTGTGTTTTATTCTGAGTAAGGAATTGAATCTGTTTTATTATTTGAGACCCTGTTTGAAATAGAAATATATTTTCTCCAGTAGGGGAGCCTGTGTTCTGTAGTACATGTATCGTGGCCGTGTGAGTTCTCCCCTTCTTTTTGGAAATTTATAATTTCCACTTACACCTACACACTGGTAATTCAATAATCTAAATTATGTATATGCAACTAAAATATTTGAAATGGACAAATTCCTATTGGAATGTGAATGGGGTATTTGGGAAAATCACTCCAACAAGAGAGGAGAGATCTGACTCCCCCCTCAGATTTTAATACCTCTAATTTCACCAAGAAATCCCTTTGCTTCTTTCTCTCATGAAAGAAAAAAGATGTAACAGGTGGTATGAAAACTTTTTTATTTTGTAACATGTAGCATTCATAAAGGCTAGATGCCATACTTTTTCACTCTTTTTATTTCTTTCCTTTCTTTTTTTTTCTTTTTTTTAGTGCTCGTCTCGACCCACTAAATTTATATCACGAGTTGCTATTAGGTAATGACCTGTGGTTTAAAGGACACTCATACCATAAATCCTTGCATTTCCCTGGTATTGAAATATGATATACAGGATCTTCCATCTATTCCTTTCAGTTGCTATCAACATAATGTATGACATATGAGATCATCTTTATGTTTTGCTATGACTTCGTCTTATAAACGTTTAGATATGATATTAATGTATGTTCCTTGTTTTTATATGTTTTTTTTGTATGTATGTTTCTGTATGTTTTGTTTACCATACAGATTTTTTGGGAGCATGATCTTGGCCTTTATTTTAGATTTTGAAACAACTTGTGTAAAAAAATATTTTGAAACTATGACAAACAGGAAAATCATAAGTGAAATACAAAGAATTCTTTGACTTTGTAAGCAATAGGAGTGTAGATTGCAGACTTAATGTTTCATCATCACCAAAGATAAGGAAGATATTTTTCTGTATAACTACAGTGTAACCATAACAAGTGGGAAATTGATACAAGTAAACTGTTGGGATGAGGAGGAAAATAGAACAAAATACAATTAAGTGGACTTGACAGAATTTGATGAGTGCTTATATAAGGGAAAAGAGGAAGACTGTATAACATTGAAAAAAGCACGTCAACTACCCTTTTGTATGTTTGTGTATATGTGAGAATTGGGAAATGACCTACATTAAAAATGTTCTGCTACTTAACACCTCAATAATTGAGGTTCTGTGGAAATATTTTAAAATACTGTATTCTAATAGCAGAAGAAACATATGACCATGGATTTCTCTATTACTGTCTACTGTTGAGATTTATAGTGAAACAATTGGGATTTTGAGTCAAGGAATAGAATCTATTGAAAAACTTTAATGGGAGTAGTGATATATTTTGGAAAGCATCTTTGATTCTGAGGATAGTGTCAGTGAGTTAAGAATATTGATAGAAAACAGCAAGAGAATCTACATCATCTTTTCCAACCCTGCCCTCTCTGAGGATCCAGTCTCAAACTTTCAGTTACCAGAGCTTTTGAACTTAACACACACATCTATCTACACATCCTTTCTTGACTATATTTCCTATTTCTTTTACCTTCTTGTACCTTGCCTTGGTCTAGGAACCAAGCAGTGATCCTTCCTGGTCTTCACCCACCCATATCTGGTTGATTTCTACATCTTGGAAAAGGCACTGGAAAAAAATTTAATTTCATCCTTGCTTTATTGCTAGTGTCTGTGAATTTTGAGAAAGTCACTTGGTTTCTTTTATATTCAGATTAACCTGTGTAAATTATGATATTTGAACCACATATGATATCATACGGTGGTTAAGAGTATGGTTTTCATGAGGCTCTTTGCCTTTTAATCCCTGCTGTATCAGTCAGCAGCTGTGTGATCTGGGGGGAGTTGTTTCTTCATGCCTCAGTATCCTCAGCTATAAGTACATGTCTCACAGGGTGCTTTCAAAGCTAAATTGAGTTACTTTGTATGTAATATGAAGACTAGTGCTGGGAACACAGTAAGGATTAAATAAGTGTTAGTTAGCTCTTACTGTTATCATTATGATTTTTCTTGCTTGCTCTCAGGGTTATTCTAACTTTTTGCAATACTGCTCTGAGTATATTTATCATTTGCTACTCCTCTACTCTCTGTTATCACTATTACACTACTATTGTTGAGGATCAAATTAGTTGTTAGTTGTGAAAAATGCTTAGAGCAGTGCCTAGCACTTAGTAAGCACTCACTAAGTGATAAGCCTTACTGGTGGTCTTTGCGATTTTTATGTAGAGGACCCCTCAGGGCAGTCTGTGATCGACTCCTTGCCGCTCGTGGTTCTCCAAACTTAACTTCCTCTCCTGCTTTCCAATTTGTCTCTCTTGGAGATTGGTCATATAATTTTGCTCCATGTTGAGACCTTCCATTTAAAAGGGGGGGTAAAACCCAAAAATCGTTCTTTGAAAGAAATATCAGATAATTTGCCAAGGCCGACTGAAAAAAACGGTATTAGTGAAAGAAGTAAACTTGAATTTTAAAGCAGTGAAAATTGTGTTTTAGGTATTTAAGGGCATTGCTTATTAAAACAGCCTCAGTTTTTTTATAGAAAGAGAAGCTCTAGTGCCGAAATTCAGGAAGACTTGTTATTTATTTTTAGCAAGGGACTAAAACCAAAATTTAATCTGAAAAACTCAGCAGTTCAGTTAAAATAGAACATGAAGAGTAAAGGTCAGGAATGTTTTATGTGTTTTTGATGTTAGGAATATACGTTAACATATTTTTCCAGGTTTAAATAAGGAAAAACTTGAGGTGTTGTTTGCTCTCTGTGGGCATATAGGCAGCTCTTGTGTGTTCTTTTCAAAATCTTAAACTTCTCTTTAGTATTTAAATGAAAATAGCTTCATTTGTCTGTTTTTAAAACCACAGTGTTAGCTTTTTGTTAGAAGAATTCTGAGAGAACTTACCTAATTTCTTAACGAGAAGTCACTTGTTATGTGTTCATTTGCATGACCTGCTCTTTAACCCTTGCTCGTCTTTAGCTGTTCTCCTACTTCAGTATTTTATGGTGTCCTGGAGAAAAGTATTTTTCTCCAGTAAAAGTTGCATTCGATTCTCTTTTATCATTGATAGCTGCAGAAAGCCACTTCGCCACAGTTTGAGTTTTCAGATGATCTTTTAAAATCAGCTTTTACGTATATTTTCTAAAACTTTACTGCAGGAAATGGCAGCGCGAGAGTTAATGTGTTACATGGAGGGAAGAACAGTCCATTGGGGGTTAAATTGCAGAGTCTAATGGAATAATAACTGGTAGCACCATCTGCTGGCCTACTTCCGCAGAAGGAGTCAGTATTTTTAACGACATCTCTAATATTCATGCTGATGCATTTTGATGCTTTGTGCATTCATTTCTTTCTGTGCTTTGTTGGAATCTGGCTATCTGCTTACAGCTATTGAGGAAATTCAGCTTTTTAGGAGGGGTTTACAGCCTTTTTCATATCTAAATAGGATGAACAGTGGATATAAACTTGCCAAGGCAGAAATGTGTTGATAAATCACAATGTGTGTTTGTGGAGGGTTGTGCATCTCTTGGTTGCAGCTTGCTAAATAGGCCATTTAGGAATCTTCTTTCAATGCTTTTTTCTTGAGCACTGCCTGGGGTGGTGAAAAAGCAGAGGGCAAGCCTTTGTCTGACGCCAAAAATGTCTTCAGTGAAGAGGCCAAGAGGAAGGGTAAGTGAAAGCCTGAATGAGTGGGAGGAGGAGGGGTTCTTTGGGCTAAAAGGCTAATGGGATTGAATAACCTTCCTTATTACTGGCTGCTGCTGCGGGAGTCGTACTGCATCGCCATCTTGAGCTTGTTGCTGTTTTCTCGAGTCTTGGTTATTTGTTATAGCCTGTAGGCCTTAAGGTGGCATTTTAGTGAGCATTCTAAGCCCTCCTTCCTTTCCCAGTGCTGCAGCACTGCTATGAAACCTTTGATGAGGCAGGTATAGAAAAGATATCCAGTGAAGCCCACTGGAATCAGCATGAAAATGTGTTTGGAAATTCCTGGTGGTTTTTTCCTTTGCTGTAGTCAGAGGCATGTTTACGGGTAAGAACATAACAAAACTGTGATCTAAGTATATGTGGATGAATGTGTGTTTGAAGAAGATCGTCTTTTTAAAATGCTGTTGATCTGCTTCCTGTGATATTGCTAAAATATTAATAATTTTAACGTAAAACTGTAAAACTTGAGGTTTTTTCCCAGAATTGCTTGAGCAAAATTATTATGATATAGAGAGAGAAGAAAAAAATCCACACTTAACTCTTTCACGGAAAAACTAAAACTTTCTCTAATTTTAAGTATGGGAATGTCTGTTTACTAACTAGCTATGTTGCTGCATAGATTGCACATTAAAAAAATGATTTAAATGATTTCAGGTTCCAGTTCTTATTTCTTGTAAAGCAGAGAAGCTTTGTATTTCTAAAAATAATAATAAACTATAAGGGCTAGCTATTCTAAATCAAAATTGCTATCTTAAATTTATTAATAATTTTCAGAGTTCTGGAGTGAAAAGGAAAGAAAAGAGTTTTATTTCAAACGCACAGAATATTTGGAGGACAAAATTTGAATCAGCTAACTAATCAAGAATGCTGTGAAAATAGCAGTGAATCCACATTATCCTTCTTTAACCATTTTTAAAAGCAGTAGTTGAGCTTTGTTTATATACCTACACTAATTTGTAGATCAGCAAAATGTTACAATTTTACATTTGTTTGTAGCACTCACGTGTTGGCTCAGGTATTTTACTTCATTAAGCATAACTTTCAGTGTCCAGATATTTATGTTAAATTGTTTAGCTGTACTTTGATATGTTGTGTAAAAAGTATTCTGATTTCTCCAGCCTCCATCTTCCAAGAAGAGTGACGGCTCTGGGACATACACTAAGTTGCAGAATACCCAGGTGAGGGTCATGTCTGAGAAGAAACAGAGAAAAAAGGTGGAATCAGAAAGCAAGCAAGAAAAGGCTAATCGGATAATATCAGAGGCCATAGCAAAAGCAAAGGAGCGTGGGGAACGTAATATTCCACGAGTAATGAGTCCTGAGAACTTTCCCAGTGCTTCAGTTGAAGGAAAGGAGGAAAAGAAAGGTAGACGGATGAAATCCAAGCCAAAGGACAAAGAGAGCAAAAAAACAAAAACTTGTTCTAAGTTGAAAGAGAAGACAAAAATTGGGTAAGTTGGTTTCAAAATCAATTTACTCCCTTTGAATTTTTTTTTTTGTCAAAGTGCAGTCTGTCTCATCTTTTACTTTTGATTTGCGTGTGATGTATTTTCCTCCTACTTTGAAGTTTTGACTTGTTAGTTACTATGTGTAGCTTATTTCCTTTTTGAATGAATTGGACAATAATCCAAGATTTTCTGCGTTTTACTATTCTGTAAACAAAGCTTTCTATACGTTAATATTAGTAAAAGGAAGTTATAGGAGAACATTGCATACATTGAATAGAAAAAGGAAAATCAAACCCATTGCAGTGCCAGTTTTAAATTCTCTTTCTTTATAGGAAGCGCATTGAAATTTTTTTTTTATCAGGTTTCTTTACCTCTTAGTTGTACTTCATTGGGCACCTTATAGTTTGGAAAAATGAAATACAGCGTTTTCTCAAAAAACCACAACTTTGGACTAAATGGAATGGCCAGAAAACCAAGACTGTAAAATCAGTGATGAGCAGATGTCAGTTCTCCCTGATTTACTCCCTCACTATCTCTCTGATTTACTTTATGTAATAAAGAGGCCAGGTGAGGATTAATGCTCCAAGAGAATTATAAGGACAAGGAATTGCTCTAGGAGGGTACATAAACACTTAGTGTTTTTATTTGACGGCTTACCTAATACATTAAAAAAAATAAAATATAATAAATGTTAGTATATGTATTATATGCAATTTTTGCGTGAAAGGGTGAAAATAACCCAAGCCCAACCTTTTGGAGTTATTTTTGCAGAAATATTTGGTCATTTTTAAGGCTTTATGTGAAATTTTAGATAAAGTGTTTAATTTTAGATAAAGTGTTTAATCTGCTTTCTTTTTTTCCCCCACACAAAAGAGTACACAGTAAAGAATTTGTTTATTATGAAAATCTTCATTTGCTTAGGAAATTACTGATACACTATATAGATGCTGAGAACTGACACAAATTTGTAAGACAAATTAAGTCTCAGCATTTTAAATGCAGTCTCCACACTGAATTATAGTGTTATGTCTTGATGCCTTTCCATCTAAACCATAAATAACATGGGCTCTCCTGCCCTAGAGCAGTAATTAATATTTGTGAGTTTGCATTTTATTTGCAGACAGCTAAAATGAAATTTGGAAGTTAAGTTTCTACTCCTTTTATGTTTAATGGTTTTGCATAAAAGTATCTGATTTTTTCAACATTATGTCTTGTTTAAATAGGAAATCTTATATTTAATCGTTTAATGCATGAAGAGTTAGTATAATTAAAGTTTTCCAGTTGTAACTTACACAGAGACATGGGCAAAGTGGTGTACTGTTTGGAAGGGCATTAAGAAAATAATGTACAAACCAAGAGAAACTGGGAAAGAAACTTCAAAAGTTACAGTAACTTTACATTTGGGAGGGAATAGCTAGAGGCAAAAGATACAAGAATTAAATCTGGTTCAAGAGAAACAATGTATATAAGAGGAAATTAGAAATAATTATAATAGAGAAACATGGATTTTTGAAAAATGTGAATGTAGTAGGGGGTAGTAACATATCACAGTAGAATGTTTGACTTATCCTATGGTATTTATATTTTTGTTAGAGATTATTATAACAAATGATTTTAATACTGTACAGCGTTGATCAACTTAGTAATTGTTTTTAGAGATTGCATTCTTGAGAAAATAGTTGAGAATTGTACTGAAAAGATAAATATGTGGCAAGACACTGAGTAGTTGCTGGAGAAAAACTTGTTGAGAATATAAGAACATCCTTCTGATAGAGGAATTTATAAGTTGCAGCCAAGTAAGTAAAATGGGAGCTTACCTGTACTAGTGAGCTGAAATATTTTCACTAGTGTGCTTTCCAGTAAGCTGCTATATTTAAATTTTGAATATGCCCAGTTTTTAATTTCTGTGTGAAGTCATCATTTAAATAGTTTAGTTGCATAATTTTAATTAACAGTATTTCATGGTATATTAGATATTTTCTTGTGAAAGTTTTATTTTTCTATTTGAGAAATGTGCTGTTGCTAATATCAAATGATAGATACCAGATGAAGTTGAAGGGGGAATGTATGCTGGAGCTTAACCACCAGCAGTGTAAAATAGAAATTTTTAGAGTAACTAAATTTGTAAACAGTGAGTTATGGTTGACATATAGTCAGAATTGGTGTTTATTTGTCCCATACGTGTCATTGTATTGCTTCTCCTTGCTTGCTAGGGTGCTTGAAACCTTTTCATTATTTCTGCTACTTTTGTGGATTAATATTTTAATACAAGGAAAATGTATCCTTTTCAGAGCACTTTTGTAGAGTCTCATTTAATCTTTACACCTCTGTGAGTTAGGCTGCCACACAGTGTGCAAATTTGATTAAGTGCTTTGACTTTGGAGTCAGGAACATTTGTACAAATCCCAGTTTTGTCCCCTACAAGCAGTGTGACCCTGGACAGGTCCAAGCTTTAGTTTCCTCTTGTGTGAAAAGGGGATAATGATAGTACTTGATTCATGGTGTTATTTTGAGGATGAAATAATTTAGTAACATTTAAAGCATATGGAGCAGTACCTGGAATTAAATAAATGTTAGCCATTATTGTTTTCTGAAAATGTAAATAGCATGTAGCTATTTTGGGAGAAGCCTGTGACCATGAGCCACGCCCCTTCTTTCAAGCCTAAACTTTCACTTACCTGCCTAGATTCTCTTTCCATTAAGGCTCTGTTCCTAAATAAGACCAGTTAAAAAATCAAGCGGAGGCTGCGCAATTCAGTAGCACATATACTTAAAAAAGAAAATCAAACAGACAAACGAAAACAGTTACTAATTTTTAAGAGAGGTAATAGGTTAACTTATTAATGGCTTTTTTCATGAGCCTGCTTCTTCTGTTTATCAAGTAGCTAGAGTAGCATTTCAGGAGAAGTAAATTTTGTTCGAAATATACCTTGAGTTTGAAAGAGTTGCCCACTATTATGTGGAAGGGTGTGAGTTGAAATGGAAATGGCAGGTGTAAAATAAAGAGTGAGGTAGGGCAGGAAACAAACTTTTTCTGCTTTAATGTTGTTTATGATCTTGGCAGTCAGGTTCTAACAAGCTCCCTTTCATGTAGAATAGCAGATTTTTTTTTTTTTTTTTTTTACTAACACTAGGCGCATAATAGATGCTCCATGAAAGGAGTGGAATGAATTTTGTCCAATGGATGAATGAGTGAAAGGTTAAATATCAAATGGTACCAAATGGTTGAATTTGATTTGATAAATCAAAAACAGAAATGGCAAACTAATCCTTCGCTGAAACCACAAGAATAGCTTAGTAATAGTAGAAAGTTAAATTATAAAATAAATTCATTCTAAGACTTCAAGTAGAATTTTCTTAGGGCTCTATTTGTGATTTGAGATTGTGTAGTAGAATATCACATAATTTGGGGCACCTGGGTGGCTTAATCAGTTGAGCATTCAAGTCTCGGTTTTGGCATAGGTCATGATCTCAGGGTCAGGGATCAAGGCCCTTGACAGGCTCTGCCCTGAGCATGAAGCCTGCTTAAGATATTCTCTCTCTCTCTCTCTCTCTCTCTCTCTCTCCCTCCCTCCCTCCCTCCCTCCCTCTCCCTCCCTCTCTCTCTCTTTCTCTTTCTCTCGATTTACCGTGCACTCACTGTCTGTGTAATAAATACCTTTTAAAACATTAAAAAAGAATACCACATGATTTGATTGGAGCATTTTAAAATTTATGGCTTGTAATTTTGACATTTAAATTATGTTTCCATGTTGCCAGCTAGAATACTTCCTTGTACTACAGATTATTCAATTCACATAGATAGATTTTGATACTTAACAATGTTTTGTGTCCCCATAAATTTAATCAGTAGTAGTTCTTCATGATTAAACTTTCTGTTTTCTTTTTTGTGTAATCCATAATTATTTTTTCTGTATGGCTAGATATCGGGTGCTGGAAATAGCCTTTCTCTTTAGTTAAAGCAGTAAACATCTAAATTAGGAAATATTTATCAAATTCAAGTAGAAATTAAGGATGTCATGTTGTAAAGGAAAACAAACATAATTAAAATTTGAAATTATGTTGTGCCTGTTTTTAGCTGTAGTTTGTTTGAAACCCCAAGAAGGAAGAGGGGAAATAAAATTTGTTAATTACCTAACATCATATATATACACATATATGTATGTATGTGTTTTGTGAACAAAACTAAATGTAGGTTTGTCCATATGCATGCTGTAGAGATATATTTATATCTAAATAACAAAATATATGGGGAAAAATGAACAAACAAAATCTGAGGAAAAAATACAAGGAATCATCAGAAATTGAGAATTATGACTTTATAGTCCATGTTATTAATAAAATGACAAGACTCTGATTGAATTTATTCAAAATAGAACAATTTAATATCTGTTTGAATAAAATATAAATGTATTAATTATTGTTTCTGGGCATATGATTTAAAAACTTTGAAAAATGTATGGTGTACATTTATTATGTATTTTTAATTATTAATCATATACCATTAGTAGTCCATAGAAATTCCATAATTTTTAAATGCCAAGCAGGTAAAATGTTTTATTGATTTCACTCCTTAGATCTAAACTTAAACTCCATGAAAATCTGAAACATTCATCTGCAGAAAGAATTGATACAGCATACATTATTTGTTATTATGAATTTAATGAAGATTTACAGTTCCATTTTTAAGAAGTATACTTTTACGTAAAATGTAAGACCTTACTAAGGTCTTTTATTAGCAAAC